GTAACAGTACCGTATTCTTTAGTCACTAGAGGTGCAAGTGCTTTTAATGCAGTTCTGTGCCATGTGGCTGCCCCTTTGAGAATTTACTGCAGTCATTCTGCAGGAGCTCCTTTTGGTCTGTTCATGGTTTTGCCATGTTTTAATTGCTCAGCATGGTGTCCACAATAGAGGTACAGTAAGCTGTACTCCAGTGATGGACTGGGCTGACCCGACCACCCCCTGTAACGCCTTCCAGTCAGACAACGAGCTGCTGCCAAACCACACTGCAATGCCACATGTGAGCACACTCTCAATAGAGCACCTGTAGAATGTACTAAGTTGTATTGTAAATTGCAATGAGGTAATTTATTGTATCCTAATGTTAATCTAATCCCTATAAATTCCTGTCCTTCTACTCTTCTATCCCTCTTAATGAGCTCCCGGACAAAGCATTTCATTGCCGACAACACCGCTGTATGCTGGACTGTTAGTGCATTGATCAATAAGTTGATTGATAGAAAGGAAGTATGAGGAAGTAAAAGCGCTGTTGTGCCTTCTTTGTAGCTCCAGTTACTCACTGGGACCACGTTAAATCATTAGTGATGAAGATACCCAGGAACTTGTAGCTGCTATCCGTCTCTACAGCCACCCCGTTGATGTGAACAGGGGTGTGGTCCCCACCTTGCTTCCTAAAGTCGACGACCAGCTCTTTGGTTTTGCTGACGTTGAGGGAGAGATTATTCCCAAGGCACCACTCCACCAGGTTCCTGACCTCATCCCTGTTCCTGCTGATTCGGCCAACGATGGCCACGTCTTCGGCAGATTTGCAGAGGGAGTCAGCTGTGTCTGCCCACACAGCCCTGAGGGGCACCTGTATGGACGGTCAGCAAGGAACAAAGCTTTCCACTGACCCTCACAGTCTGTGGTCTGCCAGTCAGGAAATCCAGAATCCAGCTGTTGACCCCCAAGTCATAAAACTCCCTCCCACATTGAGCGGCGTGAAGGTGGAGGGTTTAGGGCCACACGCCCCGTGACCTGATGGCTCTGCTGCATGCAGTGAACTGCAGAACACTGCAGGGGCTGTTTGCAGCAAGGAAGATGGCT